AAAAAAAGCAGGCCCACCCCCACTAAGGAACCCCCAAACCCCATTCTCTAGAAGTGGGGCCCAGGCACCTATACGGGTATCCACCCTATCCAAACTCAGACACTCAACAGCTCTGGAGTAACGAGGAATAACTGCATTTAAACAACTTCTAATGGCTTTGACAGGGACTCAAAGGAGAAGCTACAGAGGTGAAGAGTCTGTAAGGGGCACGCATCAGTGGACACAAAAATATGGCATTTTGAAGACACAGCCTGGCAAGGTGGAAAAACCCTAGTGCGGCCAGTAACTAGCTCTGGCCAGCCCTTATACAGTTGCCTCATCTGTAAAACAGAGATGAGAAGCTGCCCTCCTAGAGCTGGTGAAGACTGAGCGGAAAAGGACCACAAAGCAACCGTCCAAACACGAGGAACTCCTAGAGTGGGGTTATGAGACAGCCTCCAGAGTGGGAGCATCTTGACAGAGGCAAGCAGTGTGTGGGGTGGACCTGGTCAGGTCACACCTGCATGGCCCTGGGTGAAAAACTCTGGCTTACTTGTCTGTAAAATCAACGTACTGCGTATTTCATGAGTCTGAGTCTCAAGCCCTGAAAGGGGAAAAGAGTATGAATGTCATACAGTCGTTATTAAGACAATAGAAGTTCGGGGCACCTGGGTGGCGCAGTCGGTTAAGCGTCCGACTTCAGCCAGGTCGATCTGTGGTCGTGATTCCGAGAGAGCCCGTGCGGGAGCTCTGGGCGTTCTTCCGAGGAGCCTGGAGCCTGTTCGATTCTGTGTCTCCCTCTCTCTCTGCCCCTCCCCGTTCGTAGCTCTGTCTCTTTGTCCCAAAAATAAATAAACGTTGAAAAAAAAAAATTAAAAAAAAAAAAAAAAGACAATAGAAGTTCGATGTTAAAGCCTGATGCTTAAGGGCTGGCTCACAGCCAACACTGAACAAATGGGAAGCACGGCTGTTATGGCTATTATTGTGGAGGGGGTGTGTGCCATGGATATTCTCGCTGTTAAAATGTGAATGCAAAGCAACCCAGGCCAGGGGAAGATCAAGCTACAGTGACATCCCATCAGAAGGGCAGGGACAGTGAGATGGGACAGGGAGAACACAGGCTTTGGGGAAGAAGCTTGGGGTTGAAATCCCAGCTGTGCCTTCTACTATTTGTGAGGCTGTAGACAAGTCACCTAATTAGCCTGCCTCTCAAATTTCTTCATCTGAAAGACAGGGATCATATCACCCTCCTCTTGGCTCTGTTGAGGAGTTGCAGATGTGAAAACGTCTGGCATGTGGCAGGGAGGGGGCAGGAAAAGTTCCAAGTCAACACACACAGGGTGGGTCTGAAAATATAGCCAACAGGACTGACACTGTCCTTGGAGAGGCTTCCTAATGGAAAGGACCAAGGAAAGTTAAATTAAAAAAAAAAAAAGAAAAAGTCACAAGAGATCCTCTCCCAAGACACAAGGAACAGGAAGCTGGGCTGTGGGTCAGCCAGAGCCCAGGGACCCCAGAGCACATTTGCTGAAAGATCTGGGCTGTGGGTGTAGCTGTTCTCACCAACCAGACCCCCAGCCCTAACACACACTAGGCAGGGATGTTCCTCCCTGTTCCCCAGGGAAAATGTTCCACCCTTCAAGGAGGGGCAGGAGGACACCCAGGCTGGGACCTGGGACCAGCCCAAGGAGAGGCCTTGGGCCACAAATGGTTAAGAGGCACATCAGGTTAGAGGAAAGGACCCTCTCTCCACTGCTCTTCCTGGACTCATTCCTAAAGGCAAAGCAGAAAGTGGCATCTGATCATAGCAAGATAGAATTTGGCCTCCTCTAGCTAAATAATAAGGTTTTTCTCCTGGCACAAAGGCCAGAGTGAATAGGTGCCAGTGGGACTGTGGCCCTAGATCATTCTACGGACAACCCATTCCATGTTCTTGCTCTTAAGAAGCGATCCTATTTTGACTGCCTCGAACCCCAAGGACATGGATAAACACCACCTGGAGGTTTCCCAAGGGGCAGATGGGGGGCAGAGGCTCGTCCCTGCACCTTCTGGGGATAGGAGGGGTGGGGGCGGAGCAGAACCAACTCATAAATAGCTGGCCCCTGTCGGGGGAAGTGGCTAGACTTGGAGGGATGGCTCCTCAGACACTCTGGAACGGAGGTGCTGAGAACACACTTGGCGAGTGTTTTCAAGACTGCCTGTCCCTCCCCCTTAGTCCTGGGCTTGGGGAAGGGAAGTGCCTGAACCAGGCCAGTAGAAATGCAAATGCCTGGCTTCCAGGAGGAAAGGGAGTTAGCTGCTGGTGGCTGTTGCTACAGCAAACACAGTGAGGTCAGGGCCCCTGAGCCGGCCCAGCACTGCTACGGTCACTAGGGGCTGCTGGTGGCTGTTGCTAGGAGACCAGCACAACAGCTAGGTCAGCTTTTCCAGCTGTGTGGGATCCCTCTGTCCAGCTCCTGCTTCTCCCAGTCCCACCCTGCTTGAAGATGCTGACTCTACGAAGGTCTGGGGCTATGTTTCTTGCCTCCCTGTCCCCAGCTATCCCCAATCCCCAGCCATGTGGGCCGAAGGACAGGAACTGGGTTCCTCAAAGAAGCTAAGTGGATAGCTCTAGTGTATGACAGCCTGAGGGAGTGAGGGAGAAACACAGTGGGCTCCCAGCCTGAGTTCTGTGAGAGTCCCACTGTCCCCTGTCCAGAGCTCAGCGGGGTCAGGCTGGCAGTGACAGAAACATGGCTGGACTCGTGGAGCAAATTTAAAGCTGGTGACAAGAGTTCACTCTGGGCTCAGGGAGGTGAATCCAGTGGAAGGAACCACATATGTAGGAAGAGAATTTGCTGGAGTGTCAACAATGACACAGGCTGAGGCTCTGGGGATGGGAAGGTGAAGAGAAACCCCTCCCTCTCCAACACCTGCCAACAATAGGCGGTTAACTTTGGGCCTCTAATCTCAGCCCTAGGTTTGTGTTTCAGGAGAAGGCATGGCGCTTGTCAACAGGGACACAAAGTGGGACTAGAACCACATGTTCTGACGACTGAGGCAGGGCTGGCAATGTGGTCACCTCCAGTGCGGTTTCTGATTACTGCCTGGCCTGGCTCTGAGCTGTTAGAGCCCTGAGGGAACTCCTAGCCTGCAGTCCTCAACTCTGGGGTGGTTTAGGGCCCTCACACACGGCCCTGCAGAGGCCTTCTCAAAAGCCTCCAGGAGAGCTCCTGTGGTGGGTCAGGGGCAGGCCAGGCAGCATCTCATTCCAAACGCTTTCCACTGGTAAGAGAGGCCCCCAGAGACCACGTGAAGCAATGAGGCTTCCAACTTCTCTTTCTCCCTTGCTCTTCAGCCTTTTACCAGTCAAGCAAAGCTAGCCATGTCCCTCTCCCCACCACCCTCAGGGCAAAGTCTCAACTCCTTTTATCATCATCCATGTCCTGGCTAGGCACCCCACCTCCAGAAAGCTTTCCTAATTTTCCACCAAGGCTCCCACCATTCTTGGCTGTGACTTTCTGGGAAGTCAGCAGTGACCTGTTCTACCAGTAAACTGACCAAATAACTTCAAATAGGTTCTTTTCCCTGATGAGGCCTAAGCTTCCCCTTTGGTCCATCTACTTTTTTTCCCTCCCCAGATGTCCCACATGATCTCAAGAGGACTCAAGTAATCATGGAATGTAGGTCCAGGCCCCAACACACCTGAGAGCTTGTGCTCAATGAGATACATCCTGGGGTAAGGGCTGGGATCCTGACCGAAGGCAGAATCCTGGCTCACACAATTTCTTTCTCCTTCCCTCTCAAGGACTAGCATTTCTGAGGCCAACCTAAGTAACAGGAGAGCCACATGGAGGGAGGTCTGAACACTAAGGAAAAATCAGAGAGAAAAGGGAAAAAGAGCCTTGAGCTGAGATCCTGGGATTGTAGGGACATGGCCTGCATTACTGTCTCTGCTTTGGGAGGTCTATCTAGCTCAGGAGACAGCTGTTCATCAACTTATCCTCATTGTCAAAGCTGGTGGAGTGGGAAGTGCCAGCATCTGGCCAGGGGTCTGCTGTGAATCTTGTATCATACCCCCAGGATTTTCTGGAACCCACTTCTGGGGCTTAAGCCAAAAAGACAGATCAAACCACTGACTTTAGACCTCTTCCCAGGCCTGAGTAACCTATAGCTTCAGACCCCAAGTCAATCCTACGATCTGTGGTTAATCCAAGAACACTCTTCTCCCTCCTTCGGAGTTTAGGTTATTTTGTCTCCCTGCTGGCCTAGATCACTTGGCCTGACCTGCAGGTCCCCCCTACCAGGAAGCCAGAAGCCCTGAAGAGCACAGGTGCACCCAGTACTGCCCTGGATCCTGTCCCTGAACAAGCCAGCACAAGCTGAGAAGGCTAAGCCGTTCTATGCCTGGCTGAGGTGCTAGGGCTTGACTTCCAGAGAGAGCCCATTTTGAAATGTTGAACATGGATGTTAAGACCATCTACCACTATGACTATAATCCTTCTCCACCGGGCTACATATCTGAAATAGGTTTCACAGTTAATTTAACCAGCAAACTGAGAAAAAGATAGGCAGGGAATACTTGCTGGGGTGTCCAAACAAGGAATCCTCAAGGTGTTAAAACACCACTGCTCTCACACCTTTTAGGACCCAGTCCCACTGGGGCCTAGTCAGACTACAATTTCAAAATGCCCTGACAAAAAGAATGGGGCAAAATGAGGCTTGTTTAAAAAACAAACTCTGGGGCACCTGGGTGGCTCAGTCGGTTGAGCAGCCGACTTCGGCTCAGGTCATGATCTCGCGGTCAGTGATTTCGAGCCCCGCGTCGGGCTCTGTGCTGACAGCTCAGAGCCTGGAGCCTGTTTCAGATTCTGTGTCTCCCTCTCTCTGACCCTCCCCCGTTCATGCTCTGTCTCTCTCTGTCTCAAAAATAAATAAACGTTAAAAAAAAAATTAAAAAAAAAAACAAAACAACTCTTAGGGTGCCTGGGTGGCTGTCTGTTGAGCATCTGACTCTTGATTTCGGTTCGGGTCACAATCTCACGGTCTGTGGGATCAAGCCCCTTGTTGGGACTCTGCGCCAACAGCACGGATTGGGATTTTCTCTCTCCCACTCTCTCTGCTCCTCCCCTGCTCACGCTCTCTCTCTCTCAAAATAAATGAATAAACATGAAAAAAAAGAAAGAAAAAAAAGAAAGAAAGAAAAGGAAGTCTTTAAAGGGGGAGAAAGCTGGCTATATGCATCAGTAATGGGGCTGAGCTGGGGGAATAACGCTGGGTGGCTCCTGGACTATCTTGTGCTCAACTGTTTTGCTTTTTTGTTTTTTTCGTTAACCCAATTAGTACTTTACAAATGTGAGTCTTCAGGGCTCAATCCTATGGTCTCGGTGTTTGTCACTGGATGAAAGTACACCTTTTCAGCTCCACCTTCCAGAATAGCAACACTCAGAGCAAATCTCACATCTCCACTATCACAGAGTAGTGCCAGAGGTGTGGCATGGCTTTGACCAACTTTTAGTTTTTGTAGCATGGCTGTTTCATCAGCAAGCCAAATTTCCACTCTTGACACCTAACTGCTTGGCAAGATCCTTTAAATAAATTTGTCTATCATAAAGATCACTGATCTTAAAGACTGATCATAAAGATCAGTCAATAGCTTTTTTCTTTTTGTCTTTAAGAACTAATTTCTTACCATGAGCTCTCTTTTTCTATATTGGCTAGGAGGCCTCATTTCTTCCACTGTAAACATCAGCTTACTGGTTTATTATGAAAAACTCGGGAGCAGCCCGATGGAAGAGATGCAGAGGGCAAGGTACAGGGAAGGGGCACGGAGCCACTCTCCCCAAATCTCCATGTGTCCCCTGACCTGGGAGCTCCCGCTCAATTGTTTTGTAGAAGATGTCACTCCTATGCAAAGCCAACCTGGTTCCCTGGAGATTCCAACCACCTTTCTGACAAGCCAGCGCCACCACCAGCTCCACCGTCATCAGGACCCTTTGAACTCACAGTAATCAAAGTACCCAGGGCTACATGAATGGTAAGGCTGCCAGGGTGGGGGTACTACTTGGGTTACGTATTTGCACTCAGAGATTTTATTTTATTTTTTTTAAATTTTTTTTTCAACGCGACAGAGCTTGACAGAGAGAGACAGAGCACAAACGGGAGGGGCAGGAGAGAGAGGGAGACACAGAATCGAAATGAGCTCCAGGCTCCTGAGCCATCAGCCCAGAGCCTGATGCTGGGCTCGAACTCCCCACGGGATCAAGGAGATCAGTGGACCTGGTTGAAGTCGATAATTCCTAACCCACTGCGCCCACCCAGGCTTCAAGGCTTCAGAGATTTTAAAGAAAGGGCAGATGCAAGGTGGAAGGGAACAGAGGCTTGTTCATAGATCCCCACGTATAGGATTTGCTACTTGAAAAAGTCTGCAGGGGGGCGCCTGGGTGGCTCAGTAGGTTGAACGTCCGACTTCAGCTCAGGTCACGATCTCACAGCTCATGGGTTCTTCTCCTGCATCGGGCTCTGTGCTGACCACTGAGCCTGAGCCTGCTTCGGATTCTGTGTCTTCCTCTCTCTCTGCCCCTAACCCACTCACATTCTCTTGTCTCTCAAAAAAATAGCCAAACATTAAAAAAAAAAACAAAAAAAACAACCACAAATAATTTATTTTAAAAAAGAAAGAAAGAAAAGCCTTCAGGGCAGTGTCAAGAATGATGTCTCATAGTGGTAAACGTGAGGAACTCATTACTGAGACAGGGACCCTTAACCATGTTTGTCACATACTTTTGAGAATGCTAAATAAGTCATGGCATCCTCCTATCCTAACTCAAACTGTCCAGTTGCTGTTTTAAAAATACATATCTGAGCCTGCATACAAAAATTATGGATTTAATTTCAAAGGTTCTTAGATCCTTGATGCTAAGAACCTTCCTTCCTTTAATTAGAAAATGGCAGGAAATATGTGATTTAAAAAAAAGAAAATACATGACTTAAATATGTATCCCTATAGTCATAAAACATGCTAAGCTGGACATACCTATTCTGTAGGGTAATTAACAAATAATTTCAGCCATCACATGCCAGACCATGTCAGATGTGGGTACCATTATATGATTCTATTTTATAGACCATAACACTGAGATTTGGTGATGAGGTCAGCCACCCACAGGCACGAAATAGGAAGAGGCAGAGCCTGTGGATTCAAGCCCATGTTTGTCCATTTCAGAATCTACCTTCCATTTCACAAATAGCTGCAGAAGCTGTACTGGTGAGCTGCTGGAGAGCCTGAGCTTATCTGACCATGGCCCTGTGCCCCACCTGTTGCACTCCGGGCTCAGAGAACTATGCTGAGTCTGGCACTGTGTCATCATGTGCGGTTGACTCCTGACCAGTAATTGCCAAGAGCATTATGCAGGAAAAAAAAGAAAAAGAAAAAAAAAAAAAAAGACCAGAGTGAGGAATTCAGGAGTGCACCAACAGGCCCCTTCCTTTTTCTGGGGCCTGACGCTCAACCAGTGAGTACCTGATCTAGAATATAGCTGGCGCTTTATGGCTAAGCATCTGAATGAGGCGGTTGAGGCACTGGGTGGCCTGCTGGATCAGGATCGCAAACCCAGCGGCCGGCATAGTTCCGCTGCCATGTAGGGCCCATTACCTGTGGACAGAGGGTGGTGAAGGGGTGGGTGGTCCTGGCTGCAGGGCAGCACTTGGGGGGGGGGTGGGAGATGAATATGGAGAGACCGGGAACCATCCTTACCCGCATTTTATCCATGATGGCATTGGTACCCAGGATGTTGTACTTCTTGGAGGGGTTAGAGGCTGCATGTTTGATGGCCCACGTGGTCTTACCGGCAGCGGGCAGGCCCACCATCATCAGAATCTACAAGAATGGGACAAAGCGGGGCACTGAAGCAGTAGCAGTGGGTGGCATGGCAGCCTGGCACCACCCTCACTCACTGGTGACCTCGAGGGTGAGTCTAAGCCTCATGGCTGCCTCTGGAAAATAGAAGCAATGAGAGCGTCTACCTCACAGCGTTGCTGCTGGGATCCAAAGACATGAGGTGTGTCAGGCTCTTAACAGAGGGCCTGGCATGGGGCGAGCACAAAATCAAGTGCTGTTATCATGATTATTTACATTTTGTTAGACAGGATGAAGTGGCCTCTGACAGGAAAAAGCCCAGGGAGGGCGATGCACTGGGCATGGTACACGTAGTGGGCACAAGAAGTAGGTACAACCTTCCTGGAGTCTGAGACGGGAACAGACTAACACCCATGACGACAAGCATGGTACTTATTTAGTAGTACATTTAGAATTTGGCAAACACTAGATACAACCTAAACGCCCAACAAGAGGGGGAATGATGAGTTTTTAAGACCATTATAAGTGAGTTTAAAAAGAGGGGTTCATGTAGTAGGATAAAGCTCACAAAATAATGTTGAATGAAAGGGAGGATACCAAAATGCTTATGCTTTAAGTTCTCAATTATAAGTGTGTGTGTATAAACCAGGCACCTAGCATAGCAAAAAGGATAGCATAAACTTGAAAACTTTAACTGTAAACTTATTTGCAAACAGTGGAATTACGGGGAACTAACCTTTATGTTTAGTTTTTTAGAATAAACATCAAATCACTTATGTATCTAGTAAAACATTATCTTGAGAGCAAAGCTCACCAGTACAGCTTTTGCAGCCTCATCACCCCCAAGATCAGTTGTCATTTTTGTTCTTAGCCTTGGCAGCGTTAGGGGATGGAACCGCACAACCTCCTTCAAGAATGCACTCACCAGAAGTGCCTTCACATCCCTGTCTGCTGGGAGGAAAGCCTCCTTTTCCAAGATCCTGACCTCACTGATGGAGCAGTGTGGATGGAGCCATGACAACTTTTTTGGGGAACCTTTCCAAGATTTCGGTCTCTCACCCCAGCCCCTCCCTCTTCCAGGCCACACCCATCCCCTCACCACTGTCTCCCAGCCTTGGGAAGCCTGGAGGAAGAGGCCCCAGGTGTCTCCCTCAGTGAGGCTGTGCCACTTTCACCACCCCACTGCAGGGTCTCCCTTCTGCCTTGGCAGCAATATGACTCTGGAGAAGCAGCCTCCAATTCAGTCTTCCGGGCCCACTCACCTCACACTCTGCCTTGCTCTTTGGTCCCACAGTGCCCCGGATCCGCTCACTCAGGGGAAGGTGCTGGATAAAGGTGAAGCCTGGGAGGACGGAACAGTAGGGCTCTGCCCTCTGCCCGAAGTTGAACTCTACCGCACAATTCTTCACCAGGACGTGAGGGTAGAGGGCCTGACCTCCCAAGGCTTCCTTCTGGATTCGGAAGGCAATGCCCATCCACTTCCCATTCTTGGTGAAGGAAAGTTCCACATCATTTCCACATTCAAAGTCCTAGGAGACAAAGCCAAAGGAAGATAACTGCCAATGTTCAGCTTAAGGCATTGGGAGCCAAAGCTGAGCAGGAGCAGATGTAGGGAGAGGAAACTCAGCTTCCTTCCCACATCTAAGTGCATCCCTCCCCCAACACAGATACACAAGGCGTCACCAAGAAACAGCTGCGAAGGTGTGGCCAAAGCCTTCCTTGCCCCAAACCCCAAGGCTGTGACATGTGTCATCGTAGGAAGTTCCGTCTTGTGCCTAGCCTCAGACAAAAATGAAGGAAAAGGGGAGTCTGTCCTCAAGCCCAGCAAGGGCAGTCTGTGGAGAGAACAGATGGAAAGAAAGCCCCACAGCAGGGCCTTCTGAGTCAAGCCCAGCTCTACAAACGTGTGCATTTGTTTGTTCGCCACACACCACACATCCTCCAGCTCCTGCTCTTCCCGGTGCGGGTGCCCGTGGTGCTCTGGGCCTGACAGAGCTCAGGGCCTAGCAGGGAATCAGACCGTTTGGTGAGGGCACCTATTCAAGAGCAGGATTCTCTGAGGAGAGGACTTGTAAGCCAAGTCCTGGACAAGAAGTGGAAACGAGCCAAGTCTGCGGTGGGAGGAGTGAGTCCTAAAGAGAGGTGGTGTTTGTATATGAATCAGGTGGTGAGGGCACAAAGGGTCAGCCCGGCTGTAGCAGGACAGATGAGGGAGAAGTAACTTCAGGTAACTTCAGGTACAGCTGGAGGGCCAGGCGAAGACCGTATTTGTTCGTTCAACAACTATTTACAGAGTTCCTGCCAAGTGGCTGGAGTGCAGTGGTTAAGGCCGTTTAGGAAGGCAGACTGCTTCAGCTCTGCTATTCACTCACTGCGTGACCTTGAGGTTTCATCTGCAGTTTCCTTATCAAACAAGGGAGCCATCCTAAGATTCTATGTTGCAAAGGGCTGTTCTGAGGACTAAGGAGGTTGCTGGGAGCGATCAGTCCAAGACGCCAGGCACTTCGCTGGGCTGCAGTGGTGGGGAGGAGACACGGTCCCTGCCCTTAGCATAGCGAGGGGCTCTCTGTCACCTCAGGAATTTGGACTTCATGTTGATGGCAGAGCAGAACCCCTGACTTGTTTCCAACAAGGGAGTGGCATGGTCAAAGCTGTTTCAGAAAGATCACTTTGGGTGCATGGTAAAGGTTTACATTTAAGGGAGACTCAAAACTTGGGATCATGGGGCACCTGGGTGGCTCAGTCGGTTGAGCGTCTGACTTCGGCTCAGGTCATGATCTCACAGCTTGTGAGTTCAGGCCCCGCATCGGGCTCTGTGCTAACAGCTTAGACCCAGGAGCCTGCTTTGAATTCTGTGTCTCCCTCTCTCTCTGCCCCTAACCCACTCGCATTCTGTCTCTGTCTCTCTCAAAAGTTAAAAAAACAAAGACAAACAAAAAAAACCTTGGGATCAGATGGCAGACTAAACCAAAGTAAGTACAAGGTCGGATTCCTGATATAAAAGCACAAGACATGGTATTCTTTCCCTCTTGAATGGGGAGACCGCCTTGGGACTCGTCCTTTGAGAAGCAGCGAGAACTCCTTTCCCTAAGTGGCTTCCTCAACACCATTCTCAGTGACCACAGGACACAGCTCTATACAATCCTTATCTGCTCATTTTTAAGTGCCCACAGAGGTCAAGACCACGCAGGGCAGACACACAAACATCTGCCAAACTGAATCCTGCAGCAGGATCCCTGCTGTGTCTTCCCACCGGAGCCAGAGTGGCCCAGGTCATCTTTACTCTAACATGGAGATGAACATCCTGGGGGTCAGCCTTCCTTCTGGCCACCAGCTTCACTAGGGGAACTCACCATATTGTACAGAAACCAGCACCCTCAAATGATGAATCCACCACCAATGGGGCCATCTGTCCAAGAGGCAAGTGTGGTCGTGTCACTCCTGCTAGAACACCCTGGTGCCCGTCCAGGGTCTCAAACCTCAAGGTCATCACACCTGGTGTTATTCAGAGCCCACCAGTTCTGCAGCCTCATCTCTCACATCTCGTGTCGTCCCCAGGGCTCCAAGTACAACGTTCCTTACGGTTCTACCGTTCTCTCTGCCTGGCAGCCATTCTGTCCTGTTTTGTGAAGGCTGAGAACTTGAGATCTAATGCTAATGTGCTCCCCCGGGTTCCCTCAGGTCACTGCATTTTCATATCTGCTCCAACCCCTCACCCTTTAAAAAAGTTATGGCACCATTTGAAAAAAGAAAAACTGCACACAGAATCTTTAATATCGAAGTTGAGGGGTACCTGGTTGAATGACTTAGTTGTAGTCAAGAGTCAAGGCCTATAGTTCCAAACTGCCACATGCTCACAGAACCTCACACTTGGATGGGACAGAGTCTGGCAGATGCTGCCACACACCGATGACATGTTAAAATTCTACAACCTCTTTGGAGTGCAGTCTTGGTGGCAGCCATCAAAATTTAAAAATACACCCCTGACCCAGAAATTACACTTTCAGGAATAAACACTGCAGGTAGATTCCTACCAGAATGCAAAGATTTATGTGCAAATCACCCACCCCAGCACTGCCAGCTGTGCTCCAAGGGGAAGTGGGAGAGACTACAGAACGGAGAAGATCCATGTATAGAAATACAAAAAGATCCCCAAGATGCTCTGGTACACGGGAAAAGGACAGGCTGTCACCGCACCATGGACTCTCCTGGCGAATAGCTTTCTGGTCCATGAACAGGACACTGGCTAAATAAGCGCAGGGTAAACTGATGCCTGCATCAGAAGACTAGGCCGCCACCAAATAAAACAGGGAGAAACTAACCAAATGTCTGCTGGTTGAGAATGGTAGATCCACACAATGAAAAAACACCCTGCTGAAACCCCTTTCACCACATGTGAAAAAACAAAGTCTTCTAGGTAGTGATATGAAAAAAGTTCTAAGATAAATAAGCAAAAACCAATGCAGGATGACATGTATGATATACCACCTTTTGTGTAGAAGAAGAAATATGACAATCATCTTTCTTGTATTAGGCACCAGCGGGTTCCTGTACAGGGAGGGTAAACGTGAACGAACAACGGGCAGAGAGGGCAGGTCTGAAGACAACTTTACACACAAATCTTTTGATATATATCTCTTAATATCTTTGGGAACCACAGGAATTCATTAACTATTCAAAAATGTTTTCAGAGGCACCCGGGTGGCTCAGTTGGTTAAGCATCTGACTCTTGGTTTTGGCTCAGGTCATGATCTCACAGTTCATGGGTTCGAGCCCCATATTAGGCTCTGTGCTGCTGGTGTGGGGCCAGCTTGGGATTCTCTCTCTCCCTCTCTGTCTGCCCCTCCCCCACTCACTCTCTCTCCCTCTCTCAAAATAAATAATAAAAAACTTTTTTAAAAGTTTTTAATTCAGCCAGATCTATATTCTCTGTGCGGAGAGGAAAAGAGAGCCAAGATTTACTGTTAAATGGGGGGAAAAGAAGCAAGGTTTAGAGTAGTTTCTAGCATTTAAACATGGTTAATTTTTGTTTAAGAAAACATGTTTTTTTTTTATTAAAAAGAGAATGAAGTCACAAAAGATAGAAGACTGGGAAACTGTTTCAAACTTAAAAGGCCTAACAAGAGAATACAATCCATGATCCTGGACTGGATCCTGGACCAGGAACAAAATTGCTGTAAAGGATATTGTTGGGACAACAGACGAAATTTAAGTGTGGACTGTGGAGTAGATAATGGCATTACATCAGCATTAAATTTGACAACCGTACTGTGGTGGATACAGCAGCTTTATTCTTAGGAAATGCACGCCGAAGAGTTAAGGACTAAAGACATAATGCTGGCACCCCACTTTCAAAGGGGTCAGATGCATATCATACACACATACATGTATATTTGAAAACTGGTCAAAGTAAATCGGCAAATGTTAGAATCTGGGCAAGGCTGAGCTTTCTTAGGGCTTTTCTTTAAGTCAGAAATTTCTCTTAAAGTGACACTGAAGGAAAAAAGAAAGAAAGAGTACATGTGTACACACGAGAGGGAGGAAGGGAGAACAGACTAAGAGGAAGTGCCCGGGGGGCCACCCCAGCTGGTGCCTCACCTGACACACTTTACCACATCTAGAACTCCTACTGAAACACTGTTGAGTGGTATTTACTGTGCACTTACTATGCTCCAAGCATCATTAGGAGTGCTGCTAACAGGTTGGCTTAATGAGCCCACACAGAGTTCTGAGGTAGGTGTGAAGTTCCTTATGGAGAGCACGCTGCCATGCAGGGAGGCCGCTGCCCGTGGCTGTGAGCAGGCGAGCAGGAGCCGGGTCTAGGGAGTCTGGCCTGAGCCAGCAGCACCATTGAGTGTCAGTCACTGTTGTCAGTGGACAGCAGTGTTGGAGAGCAGTGCAGCCAGCCTATCTTGTTTTATTTTGCATGCACCCCTGCCCTTCTAGAAGACTGCACTGTAGGAAGCCGGTTCAACCAGCATGAAGTGAAAGGAGAGGTTCTGGGATGAGATGATGCCACAGTGGGGCAAGAGCCAATAGCAAAGGCTATTGAGCAGCAGAGCAAGACAAGAAATCCCTGGGTTTGTTTAGAAAACGTCCCTCTGAGGGGCTCCTGGGTGGCTCAGTCGGTTTAGCATCCAACTTTGGCTCAGGTCACGGTCCATGAGTTTGAGCTCACGATAGGCTCTGTGCTGACAGCTCAGAGCCTGGAGCCTGTTTCTGATTCTGTGTCTCCCTCTCTCTCTCTCTCCCTCTCCCCCACTCACACTGTCTCTCAAAAATAAATAAACATTAAAAAAATTTTTAGAAAATATCCCTCTGGTATCTGGGATTGGAGGAAGGCTGTGCACACCTGATGTCCCCAAACCTCTCCAGGGTGCCATCTGACAGCTTCGTGCGAAAGACCAGAGGGGGCGGAATGGCAGAATTTTGCACAAAATGACAGTCAACGTTCCAGTCTGGTAAAGAAAGACAAAGAGCCATAGCAAAAGAGGCTGGACATGAGGCGGACAATCACCAGAGGTATTCTGGGAACGAAGTCTGCAAGTCCAGCTGACAAGACCAACGTTTGGTTCTGCCAACCCCCACGGGCTGCCAGCACTCACCGCAAAGCAGCCAATCACATCATTCTCTGCAAACTTGTCTCCATAGTTCTCAAACCGGCTGTTGGTGGACTTCTTCCCAGTGCCTCCGTAGCCATAGGAGAACGGCTCTTCACCTGACGGAAGAAACGGGCAAAGGCAGATTAAACCCGCCATGGTCACTACGTCTGCCACATACTTCTAAAGAAAAAAAAAGTCAGTTTCATTACTAGTTTCACTTAACAGTTGCTTTTGTGGGGAAAGTGAGGAAGGTTCTGCTGAAAGGAAGGACCTCATCATGCAGAACTCTGAGGGCCTGGAGGGTTGAGGGGTGGAATCTGGGAGTGGGAGCTGAACTGAACTGCACAAAGAGAAGGAGAATCTGAAAAGAGGGAGGAGGGAGAGAGGAAGAAGGCAGGCTGTACACAGAGAAGAGACCTTTCAAGTGGCACTCACATTCAGTCAAGTATTACTAATGGCATCAGTTTTTGGTGTCAGCGCGTCTGGGGCAGAAATCAGGAACGGGGCTGGGTTTTGCTTCTGGAGACTGTGAGGTCTAACCGTTAGGAAAGGTGCTGGATCTCCTCAGGCCACAGAACCAGGGGCTGAAGCAGTGTGAGATTCCAAGGGCCCTGCCTGACACCTGGGTTGTACAGACCGTTGGCCAGGAAACCAAGGAACATTCTACCAGAAAAGAAGGTGCCACCAGACGTGAATTCTGGGCCCAGCTCTTCTGTACACCAGCTGTTGGCCTTGGACAACTGACCATTCTGGGCTCTGGATCTTTACCTGTACCACCTCCCCACCACTGACATACAAAAACAGAGACAAAGATGAAATAGGAGCCTGAAATAAAGGGTGTGAACATCTATCAAAATGAAACTGTCCACTCCTTTTGACCTAGCATTTCTACTATAAGGATCAGGCTTACGTGAACAATCAGATCATACACGTGGACAACTCAAGAGTTTACCAGCAAAAAATTGCAATCAACTTAACAGATCTACACATCACCTAAGGAAAATGATGCAGTGGTCAGAAAGCTGTACTTATTTAAGGGGCGGTCAGGGTCAGTCGGTCAAGCGTCCAACTCTTGATTTTGGCTCAGGTCATGATCTCATGGTTCATGAGTTTGAGCTCCGCGTCAGGGTCTGTGCCAACAGCGGGGAGCCTACTTGGGATTCTCTCACCCTCTCTCTCTGCACCTGTCCTGCTCGTTCATGCATGCATTTCGTGCATTCTCTCTCAAAATAAATAAACATTGTTAAAAAAAAAAAAGTTATACCTATCTATAAAAACATGCCCAGCATACACTAAGTAGGAAAAAGAAATCAGGCCACGAAATGGTATGCATAGTGTGACCCAGTTTGAGATATACAAAGAACAAAAGAATTATCCAGAAGACTGTAGATAAAAATGTTAATGTTGGCTGTTATCTCACAAGTTTAGGAGGATTTTCATTTTCCCCAACTTGTGTGGCCTGAATTGTTACAAAGAGCACACATTATTTTCATAATCAGAAGGTTTATATGACCAAAGCAGAAAATCTCAGCATTGGTCATGGAAATCACTCACTTGGGGCCACAATGTCACTGAGGCCTGGAGGCCTGTGAAAATTCAAAACCTCTCAATGAGCAGCCCTTGCCTCTCTGCCAACCAGCCCCAATGCTCTCTGCTTCCCTTTTTACTCTGGGTCTGGCTCTGGACAGAAAACCCCAAACAGAACTTAACAGGGTTTGAGGAACTTATTTTCAGCATGGTTTGAAGACAGAAGACAACTGATCTTTTAAGAAAAGGATCAGCTCTCTAAAGAGAACTTTGGACCATCTCCTAAAAGATGAAGACTAAATTTTTCATAGGAAAGCTAATAGGATTATGGTCCTTCCAGCTGAATCCTGTACGCCTAAAAACTGTGTGCTCCAGCCTAGGCTAGTCGTGTTCTGAGTCCCATGCTGGGAAGAGAAGCTTAGGAAGTTTGAGAATCCAGGAATAGAGACACATTGCTGTACTCTCTGGACTGCTAGGCTGACGTCCCCTTACCCAGCTGGGTGCTGCAGGAGTCCAGGGACCAGCCAATACGGACAACGTGTGGGTCGGGCTCTGTGGAAGGAAGGTGCTTCACGGAGATTTCCTCATTGATCTGGGGACAAAGAATAAGAAGGCTCAGAACTGGTGCCTAGAGGCTTGCAGGTTATAAGGCAACACAAGAGGGAAGAAGCACACAGGCATTAAAAATCAGCAATGGCTTTTGTTGCTGGGGAAAAGGTGTTTAAGTGCTCCGAAAGGCCTGTTGCGCTGAAAGGCTCAGGAAATTACAGGGCCACAGAGATAGGTATTTCAAAAGTACAGTTAATTTTAAATTTTAACACGCTACAGAGAAAACAGGGACTGTCATATTTAGTGTAGAAGGATAAACTGGCACAGTGTCTTTGGAGGGCAATTTAGCAACCTCTATCAAAACTGCAAATGCAGGGGCGCCTGGGTGGCTCAGTCGGTTGAATATCCAACTCTGGATTCCGGCTCAAGTCATGATCTCACATTTCGTGGGATCAAGCTCCACATTAGGTTCTGTGCTGTCAGAGCAGGGCTGCTTGGGATTCTCTGTCTCCCTTTCCCTGATCCTCCCCACGCTCTCTCTCTCAAAAATAAACTTAAAAAAAAAACAAGGGGAGTGGGTGGGTGGGGACGCTGCAAATGCATCTACTCTATAACGCAGCAATTCAACTTCCAGTTAACCCTACAGATGCAATCAGAGGTGTATGTGTGAACACACAACACACACAGAAGAATATTCAGTGACACTGTTTATGTTAAAAACAACTCCAAAATCCCACCAACAAGACACTGGCCATGTTATGGCACATCCATGTCACAGAACAGATGAAGCGGTCAGAAAGAGTGAAGTAGGGTTGACATACTGCTATGGAATATGTTGTCCAAAACACAGTATTAAGTAAGAAGCAGAAAGAATAAAAGGTGCCTTCTGATGTAACCTTAGAGGTTAGACTGCCTAACAACCGTATCTATGTTAGCCGGTGGTTTCTGTGAAGTTAACCTATTTTCTTGACTTTCGGATGCACATTTTTCCATCTTGCTGTTCCAAAATCCAGACAGATCTTACAACTGATGTGGGAAGCAAGCACTCTGTCAGTTTAATCGGCAGCGTTTTTCTATGAGCAGCACATGAAACAGTACGCAACTCACATTCAACAGACTTAGTCAATCAGAAACGAGAACGCTGGCAGCTTGCCCTGTTAAAAAACGGGGATAACTGCCTATTTCAGGACGGTATGGTGAGAATTAATGGAGATACCCGCGCAAGGCACTTGGCATGTATCTAGCTTGTGCAAACGGTTCTGTAGATACTAATGGTCAGTTAAGTTTGGCTACCCAAAGGACACGCAAGAAATCACTAACATGTAAGTTACCTCTGGAGGGTAGGACGGGCACCAGGGGGATTGGAGCCTAACTTCTGCTTTTTTTACCCTACACTCTCCTGTGCCATCTGAATTTCCGTTGACCATGACTGTGTGCTTTTTTCATAAACAGAACCTGACCTGGACTATGGAGAGATGATGGTAGAGGATGGCCTGGTAGGTCCTGGTAGAGGATCAGCCCTGGTGGCAGGACCGAGCTTTGCCCAGCTCTCCTTCTACCCTCTCTAACTGGCAGGGTCCATGTCCACACTTTCTAGCTCATTTTTCTTCCAAACTACTCCTTTTCCCAGTTCGACAAACATGTCATACCTAATGAGGTTGGCTATATAATACGTGGGTCAAATCTCACTAAGGAAAAATTAGCTCAACAAAGCAATGTACAATTGGCTTGCTTTTCCGATGCGGTGTTTAGCGATGACAGTTCTCCTGAGTCCATCGTGCTTTTTTTTTGCTTGGACACACAGTCCAATTAAATCTCAATTAAATCTCTTTTGCCATCGTGGCTCTGACCGAAGTGGCTGATGACAGGCTAATTCCAAAGGATGGACCTGGTTTCTGTCCCTGACCCTTCTGTTGCTCCCACTCACCTTCATCTCAAAGCACACACGGCCCCTTCTGACTCCATAGCTGGCACGGGCTCCTGACCACAGGTAGGCAAAGCCTTCAATCGTGAGAGGGTAGCCACTACTCCGGTCTCGGGCCACCTTGAAGTGGAGGTCACAGTTATCTGTAGAGGAAAAAGCCAGGAGTTGGCTGGTGTTTTAAAGGTTCCCAAAAGACGCACAGGCAAAGATAAGTTCCCTGAGAGTGTTAACCAGGAGTACACAAGCCGACGCATCATGAAGGTAGGTGCACGAGAAGCCAGCTGCACTGCCTAACCATTCTCCTGTTTGGGAGCAAGGCTCCAGACTATGCAAACGGGCCTCTGCACAGGATCAGCGCAGCCATTATGCATAGGAATTCGGTTCTTCACCTCGCTGGGTTCCAAGGATGGCCATCAGGGGAACCCCCCCAAATTGTACACAAACGCACTTTACAGGGATGTACATTTGCTAGGGAGAGGATCCATATCCTCATCATGTTCAAGGGATTTAGCATTTTTAAAAAGGTGAATCCCACAGCCGCTCACTTTAACCATTTCCGTGTGCTAGCTCAGTTTGGGAGTCAGACTCCTGCTGCCAACAGCTGCACCAACATCTGACCCGGCTCCTCACTTGCCACCCAGGCACCGCTGTGCAGGTTCACCACAGGCTCCCACCTCCTCTGAGGGCCTTGGACTCTCCTGCTGTAGCTCTGACTCTTCCCACTCTTCAAGGAGCTGGTCAGGCCTCTAAGAAAGTCTTTCCTGACCACCCCATCCAGCAGGCTGGCTCTTTTCCTTCAAGGCTGAGAGTCATAGCCTGTACATTCCCCATCTGATCAGTTGCTGCTTCACTGATCACTGCCACCCAATATTAAAAAAAAAAAAAGTTTAGCTTTACTCTAGGTACACGGGCTTTGAGATCCTGTGATAGACCGGACTGTGTACAAGATATCTTTCTCTCTTCCAAAGTATGTAGGCGCTGCTCTAGAAGCACAAGCTGAGTAGAGAAATACGTGACTTGCTGTGAAGTTTCTGCTCTGCTGAAAAGTACAGTGTTCTCAGACCTGATCGACTTCTTCCTAAAGTCAGATTTGCAGGTTCTACCACTGAGATCCAGTCTGAGGAGGGGCAGGACCTCTATCACCATCACCCCTCGGGTTCAGATGCAGTTTAGGGGAAGCCACTTATCCAGCGGAAAGAAACTGGAGGACGGACAGCGAGGCAGGCCAGGTTAAGCCTCAGAGGACAAGGTGGCATTGGTTTCACCAGGAACGTGAGCAGCTGATGGAAACTGGGGAACTGGTTGTCAAAGAGTTAAGTTTCCCCAGGTGCACTCAGGTTCCCTTCCTGGTTAGACGACAAGCCCCTGGGCATTCAGGGTTTTCCAGATTGCCCCTGCACCCATTCTGATGAGTGTCACTGAAAATCCTCTGAGGTATTAGGGCAGCATTATGCCTCCCTGAAGAGAAGATCAGAGAAACAGAATGATCCTGCCCAGGATCCCAGCTAGAGCTGGGAGGAGGTCTTCGGTCTCTGAACCAGCCACCTCACTCGAGAGCCCGGTTTCTCATATCCGACTTTCCCAATACTGACTGGAGAGTAGAATCAGATGGGCACCCCAAGGACTCACATGTGTCGATGGCAACAAGGGTATCATCAAAGTCATCTTCATCCTCTTCAGCAGGAGGCTGAGGAGAGCGGCCCCTGTGTCAGAAAAAGGGGTGAAGTCACATGAGAACAGCTGGATGAGCACGGAGGAAGGGAAATGAAGGTTCTGTTGGAATTGACAAGTGGCCTCCAGACGGCTTCCTGGATTTTGATTTCTTCTCACGGAGGTTAGCAAAACAACTGTGCAACCCTACATCCTTGCAACGACAGCAAGGACTGTTAACTCCTAGGGTGAGGATGGAGACTACAGAGGGCACACTCTGCTCCAGAGGGCCAGCCTGTTCAAAGACAACTACTCTCTCACACTCCGAGATTCTGACCCATGCCCTGTGCATGTTGGGAGCTGCCTCCATGATGGACTCTTAGCGATGGGTGGCACAGTAGCCCAGAAGGGGCTGGGCCGGGGAGGGGGAATGTGCAAAGGCTCAGATAAAACCCAGTAATCACAATCTGCCCACATCTTCCTAAGACTCCACATCTGCAAGTATTTGAAATGACCCATTTTTTCAGTCTCTTTCCGTCAAGCGTCCTAAATTATGAATAAGACTCATCTCCTACCAAATCACTAAAAAGGGACTAATGTTAAAATACTGCTGGCTTCCAACTTACAGGAATAAAGGAAAGGCACAGAAGGATGGGGTCTAATGCCCAGGGTCCTGTCTGGAACAGTCTGGACCTTGTCGACCATGTGCCCAGATCAGGTACCCCTGGCCCATCTGGGAGGCTTCCCTCTGGTGGAATGCCCTTCTGGCCCTGCCAGTCTAGGGCTAAGGCAGAGCCCTGTACAAAGAAGGACCTCATCACACAGTAAGTTCATCTGAGAAAGCTTTCCCTGCCAGCCTCGAATCAGAGCAAGTATTTTTCCTCTGTTCCCCACAGGCAAGTACCCTAGGGCTCTGCTCAGTAGGAGGCATTGGGAGAAACTTGTAGGAGGTAGTTTCACATCCTAGCTTTGGTTGAAGCCAAGAGACCCAGACCCTGTCTTAGAGGGTCACAAGGCAGTGAGGGGATAGAATCCACCAGGTGGGAAATAAAATGTGTCAGATGACCAGTCCAGACAAGTAGAGAAGTAATGGTCATTCCTAGTTTGAGTGACCAGAAAAGTCTTCATGCAAAAACTGAAGGGAGGGTGGGAGTGGGGGTGGGGGAACTGGGGCTGGGGCAAAGGGATAGGAAGGGCTTGTCAGGAAAGGAAAATAACCAGGGCAGAGAAGACACTCCCTCCTCTGACCTCCTGACACACACCATGACTACTGGTCTCACTAGGTTGTGGCTTACTCATGGGTCTGTCTCAGGCCCTATATTGGGATCAAAAGAAGGCAAAACCCACTGTCCAAACAAATCATCTCTGTGTCCCCAGTGTCCAGCCCAAGGGTAGGTACCTTGTGAAAGCAGCGGGAGTGTGACAATAGATAAATGAGTAGATAGATGGAAGGATGTGTTTGGGAAAAGGGTCAGGAAATAAATCTTTTCATCAAGGGATACTGAGCAGCCATTAAGAATAGGACACTGTGCAGGATGATGGGGCAGTGAGGCAAAGGACTGAAAAGGTAAGCTGGCATCTCACATGTGAAAGGCCAAGTATTTGGACTTTACCCTGTAGGTAATGAGAAGGGAGGAGCTGAGGAAGGAGCAAAAGTTTAGTAAAGCTGAATCTGGCAGTGAGTGCAGGGAGAACTGAGCAAAAGTGTGAGGGCAGGTTGCTCTGCCCCCTTGGTTAATACAAAGGTACCAGTGGGCACCAGGCTACAGACACAGAGACCTACTGGAAGAAGGGGGACTACTGCCTCACACACCCACCTCCTATCCTCTCGGTGCTCGAAGTACCCCCGTCCCCGGTTTTCTTCATAAGGCCTCTTGCGACTCTGGAATTGTTGTCTATCTGGTTTGAGTTGAGATGCTTCAGGTGGGAGGAAGCTGGTGGGTGCTTCTTGCTTCATCTCTGTCTTCATTTCTACTATCAGGACAAAGCCAGGTGGTCAAGACACTTGGAAACTCCTTAGCTATCACTTTTCTGGTTCCTTTACCTCAGGAGATGTTGGCGGGATCCTGACTACACTCACGATGCGCTGGGCACAGGCAGCTTGCTGGGTTCAACGGAAACCTACCAGGGAGCCAAGAAGGCTGCACTGGAGAACAGGACCAGGGCAGAGGGAAGTCGGGGATGGTCAGCGAGGCACATCTGCACTGGCAGTTGATGGGGTGACAGATGTCAGCCAGATAACTCTCAGGCTTCATGTGGGAGAGGGGACTTCAGCACTGAATAAAGACCAGCTCTCTTAATAAGGTCCACCCAAAAGTGAATAGCTGCCTTAGGCTACTTTGCCAAAGGCCTCAGGAAAGTTGGCAGCTACCTTGGTCCGCAATGAGTGGGAGAGCCCTAGAGAGTTTCTAACATGGAGGCACCTGGGTGGCTCAGTCGGCTGAGCGTTTGACTTTTAATTTCTGCTCAGGTCATGATCCCAGCATCGTGGGATCAAGCCCTGCATCGGGGTATACGCTGGGCATGGGGCCTGCTTAGGATTCTTTCTTTTCTTCTGCCCCTCTCCCTGGGTCATACTCTTTCTCTCTCTAGAAAAAATAAAGAAAATTTCTAAGATCCCTTTAAACTTTGAGATCCCACGATCCGACCTTCTCTAATTATTCCTCCCAAAGAATCTCTCTACCTCATTTCTTACAAAGTGTCGTCTGTCTGGAAAAGGAGGTGGGAAGGTCAATTCAACAGGACACTGTGGGCCCACAGCTAACTCCACTGTACCATAAAGCCCAGAATCATTCCAGAAGCGAGGGTCTGAACTTAAGCCGGCCTATAGGTGTGATGGCCTTATTAAGTCACACCACAAATAGAAATCCTGACTTTCTATTTGTGGTGTGACTTAATAATCCAAGCACCTAACAGAGAGCAAACTGTAGAACCAGCATCTATGCTGACACAGTGGATCACTCACATCTCCTCATTTCAGCACTCAAGCCATGACCACCTCGGATCCTTAGCCGTGGCGTAGAAAGAAGGCTCCTGGGCACGCACGGCAGGAACTGTGCTCCCCCATCTGGAGAGCCTCCATGCTTCCCAGCAGAGCCGAGCTCGCAGGAGGCCCCAATAAATGTCTGTTGTGGGGGTCCCTAGATGGCTCAGGTCATGATCTTGCAGTTCATGAGTTCAAGCCCCTCATCGGGCTCTACACTGACAGTGTGGAGCCTGCTTGGGATTCTCTGTCTCTTCCTCTTCTCTGCCCCTCCCCCTCTTGCAATCTTGATCTCTCTCTCAAAAATACATAAACAAACATTAAAAAAAAAAAAAAGTCTGTTGTTAACAGCACAGAAATGACTCTCCTTGGGCCAAATGATCCCACAGGTTTGACAGAGCCTGACACAAATCTGCAGTTTAACCTACATTGAAAGTAAAATCCTCAGCCACCCACAAGAAATGTCTGGGGATTTCACTTTGTGGATGAACCAGAATGGAATTAGATAGAATCAACTACATAGAATCAACTTCACTAAGTACAGACACTAGGGCTGTACAACAGTGACAGGAACACAAGACTGGGAGGCAGTTCTGGCTCCATCATTACTCAACAGTGGGACCCTGCTTTCTAAATGGTAGGACACAACTGGTTGGGAATGCTGCTTATTAACCAACAGCAGTAGCCCAGGCACCAGTTTCCTGAGTGCTAACCCCAGCTCTGCCATCAGATAAGCCACCTCCTCAGTCAGTAAAATGGGAGCAGAGAGCTGGGTTGCATCTGTGTTTCCCAAACTGACACTGCAAGAAACTTTGTTCGGCAAAGACATATTTATTCACATATTTGGGAAACCCTGGGTTTAAACAATGTGACACAGGTTTTTTTTCAGTCCAGGACTTCTCAGAGCCTTTAATGCTCCCAGAGGTGGTATAGCACGTGCTGCATTTCCAGGTATGTTTTAGCCAAGGAACCCTTCCCTGGGAGGTCCCTAATGACATCTTCTGGAACAATATTCTTCAGAATGCAGAAACTTCTAAATACTAAACTAGCTTTAGAAAGTCCTTGCTAGATGGGGCACCTGGGTGGCTCAGTCGGTTAAGCATCCAACTTTGGCTCAGGTCATGATCTCATGGTTGGTGAGTTTGAGCCTTACATCTGCTCTCTGCTGTCAGCACAGAGCCCGCTTTGGATCCTCTGTCTCCCTCTTTCTCTGCCCCTCCCCCGCTCACGTTCTCTCACTCTCTCCCCCTCAGAAATGAATAAACATTAAAAAATAAAAATAAAAAGTCCTTGCTGGATTCTACATTCTAAGATCTTAAATAAGACTCAAGTACTGTCCTCTGAGTCTAAACTCTCCAGGGTGTTGATACTAACATCTGAAAACAGATACCATGAAGACTCCCCTCTTTCAACACCCGGGAGCAGGATTAAGTTCTCTCCTTCAAAAGAACCTTTCCAGAGTGACAGAGCCCAAATGGACCATCCAAGAGGAAGATGCAAAATCTCTCTGGGAAGACGGCTCTAGGCAGAGGGTAAAGGCCACATACAGATTCTAGTTCCTTCGAAAGAGATGTACAACGTGTACTTTCCCACCTGGGCGATAGGCCTGCTGCTGCTCCATTTCCAGAGGTCTCCTCTCGTAGCCAGACTCGTTCTCTTGCTTGATGACCTGGCTTTCATAGAATTGGTTTTGCCTGGTAATATTGTCCATGACATCTTAAAACAAGAAATGGCTAGTTAGAAAGGTGCTTCTTGGGACCAGAGGTGGGTTTTTGGTGCTACACAATGTCATTCTCAGTGGGGACAGTCTGCCAAAGGCTAAAAGGTGTGACAACCCCTTCAGATGGAACCTATCTGGGCAGTCAGCAGCCTCAACTGCCTAAGGACGTGCCCTCTTGTCCCTCAAATGATTGGCGATACATCTGTGACTGGGTTGTACAGAATCCCAACAAACAAAACCAACTGAGGCAGAACCGCTCTGGTTAAAGTGAGAAGATGGGAGGGTCAGAGAAAGTACCCAGCGTGACCTCACTCCCTAAGTCCCCACTCAAAGGCTGTGACAACTCTATTGGCAGCTGTGACTCCATGCAGCACAGTTTAAAAACCACCAGTCTAGCTGTCTTATGACGTGGTATGATGTGTAGGGAGCTGGCTTCAGGGCACGACCTTAAAAACTACTCAGGGCGCAAATCAGCCTGCTGCCCAGCCCAACTCACTGCACAGCCAACCCTCTTCAAGAATCTCTTCCACCCCACCATAGCTGCAAAGATAAAGAGTAACCATCCCAATTGACAGGGAAATGGGGGGTGGCGAAGGAACAGTTAGGAAAACAGGAGTTATGATAATAGTGGCCTTTAGACTCATTAGGGAGAAGTCATGAAATATATGGAGCTAGGTGGGAAGGGTTTCAAGAAGGAGTCTCATGGAATCAGACTAAGAACAGAAGCTTATTCTTATTATAAGAATATTATTAACTATTTGTGGAATGCACACTACATACCAGACCCTGGGTATAGCTTAGAATAAGCTTGCCTCACTGAAGCCTTCAGTTTTGTGAATAGGACATACAGTAAACAAATACTTAAACACAAAAAGCAAATTCTAATTGCATTCAGGTTTACCAAGAAGTACCAGGAGTTAAGACAGGAACCCAGAAAGTAACAGAGAAGCCATTCCTGGGGTTGTTACAACATGTCAAAGTTCAGAGGTGAGACTAGAACCAGAGTAGCAAACCCAAGAAGAACCTTGCAGCCAAACCCAGAGAGAAGTCTGCAAACCTAGGACGAGCAGCAAGCAGGTTCTCTACCCCAGTGGCAAGCTCTGCTAGGTGCCTCTAGGGCCCTACTGGTAGCTGTGCCAGGACCAGCAGAACCACAGGGAAGGAGACTATTCTGCCACTTGCTAACTGATTGGATCCTTTCTCAGAGGACAAATACATCTGGGCACAAACCAGGTGCAGCCCAAAGGGAGGAAAGTAACAGATCACGTGATCTGCCACAGCTCTGTTTACCAGAGCCTGAAGGAAGGGTTGCAGTGGGGCATGAAAGGGGCTCAGAGAATTTTGTTGTAGGGGTTACAGGAAAAAGGAAGAAATAGATTATCTCCTTAATTGGAACACAGGGAGTGCCTTTCAAACTATTCGGTTTCTTCTGGGCTCCAAGCACAGTACTCTTCTTCCTACAAATACTCACATCTCTCTTTTCAAATATCTCTCCTGTGCCCACAAAGGCAGCCTCACCCCGGATGATTCTGGGGTCCTTCTCCACCCTTAAAACATCCACCTCCTATTGACATGCAAGCCCAGTGCTAAGCCTCCTACACGTGTGACCTCATTCATAACAATTCTGGGGGGCATATTATTATCCCTGTTGTGCACGCAAGAAAACCAGGGCTCACAGAGGTGAACTGACTTGCCCAAGTCATAGACACACCTTTGGAACAAAGTCTGTCCAGAGTCTAGCAGTCCCTCTTCTGAGACACCTCTGGCCACTGGCCCTTCCTCCTAGGCATTCCTGCAGCATCTCTCCTGCCCTAGACATGCACTCCTCCTTCCCTCACAGGTCTCTGCAAAGGAAGTATTCTTCCCGGCATGTGGGTCCCGGACAATCACTAGGCTGCTCTCACTGCTAATTTATACTCAGGTCGCCCCCCTCCAGGACATCACATCTCTCACCAATAAGTCAGTAAGTACCCAATGCCAACCCAGTTTCTTGTGTCTTCCCTCACCCTCTTGCTCTCCTCACTTGGCTAACCTCATGGCACCCACTTTTCAGAGAAATACCACAAATGCTGTATGCCGGAGTCCTTTCTACTTACTCCTTAACTTCTCCAATCACCACTCCCCTGTCCTGCTAGAAAACCACGTTTTTCTAACTCCACATTTCCTACCTTCCATACTAGGGTCTTCTCTCTTCAGACAATCGCAGATCTACCCTGCCCCTCTTGTTCTGAGCCATACCTTCTGGCTCATGCAGTGGTTCCTTACTACATACACCCTGAGATCCCCCCATTCCATGGGCACACAAATAACTGTTTCTGAGGACCAAGGAGCCCTCTCGTGGAGACACTCAGTCTCAGAAACACTACCCCCACTCCATCCTGAGACCTCTAGCCAAGTCAACAGGTTTTCTTTCTCTTTCCATTCTATACCCTCCCCTCTCCCACATATGCTAGACCACACGTACACTCCTGTCCTGGACAGAAGGATCCTCTATCCCCCAGATACTCCACTGACTTCAAACTCCATCAACTTGCTATCAGCCGCACCCCACCCCTAGCTACTTTTCTGTTCTTCAAACAATCCATACTGTTAATCCAAGACGACTCAGCAGTAGGCGCTGAATTACCTGTTCCCAGAATCCACCCAGCTCAAGATCTCTAGGTTCCTTGTCCAGCGAGGCATCCTTCCCTCCCTTGCCTGCCCCCAGAGATGGGGGTTTCCTTCTACCTCCTCTGGAAGCCAATCAGAAGATCCCCAGGTATCCCAGTACCAAATGCCCAAGTTGGCCCTGACTCAAGGTTGGCCTTCCAGCCCTGGATCTCAGAGTCCCCCAGGCCATCCTTAGACAGATGGGGGTCCCCCACAGTCCAATCACATGGTAGTCTCCCACATCCCCTAAATGCTCACTAGCCAAATACCAGAACACCCAGTCCATCAGATTTCCCCCTGGCCAGACACCAGCACCTCCACCTCACTAACCCATCCCAGTACCAAATATGAGAACTCCCCATACCCCACCCAGCACCAAACTCCAAGATCCTCTATTCTTAAAACTCTTCCAGCCCTAAAAACACGGCTCCCGACGTCCAGCCCACACGCTGGGCTAGCACAGCCCCAAAGCCCCCCCGGCTCCAAACCCTAATATCGTCATTTCCAAGACCCTCTTTGGCCCCCGGTTAGAAAACCTCTTGTTCTTCCGACTCTCTTCGGCTCCAGAAACCACGGCTTCCGGTCTCCGAGCCCCAGACTCCGGAATCCTCTACACCCCCGGGACCTTCCTCATCTCCGAAACCAAGAGCCCCCACTCCAGTAGATCTCCTGCACCGAATGCCAGGGTCCACCCTGCAGTCGTCCCGAGGCCCTGGGCCCTAGATCCTTTTCAGCGGCAGGTAGCAGGATCCCCCAATCCTCAGACCATCTCCCCGATCTCAGGCGCCGGACTCCCGCGTCCCACAGCCCTTCCTCGGCCCGGACTCCGGGCTCCCCGACCCCCGCCCCGCGCACTCTCACAATGTCCGTCCGGCCCCGAGTAGCCGCCAGGCTCCGCGTGCGGCTGCAGCCCGGACGGCGGTGGCTGCGCGGTCCCCTCCAGCTCGGAGCCCCCCTCGGTCTCGACCTCCTCGTTGTTGTGCCCGGGTCGCCCCGGTTCGTCGTCGGCCTCGAGCTCCCGCTCGTCGTCGGGCTCCTCGGCCTCCAGCGCCGCCTGCAGCCGCTCAGCAAGCTCGGCCTTGAGGCCGCGAGTGTCCAGGCCGCGGCGCTGCAGCTCCTCGCGAAGTTCGTTCACCTTCAGACGGCGCACATCCATGGCCCGGGCCCCCGGGGCGGCCCCCGAGCCCGGCCCGGCCTCCCAGGGCTCTGTCCCCCTTAAACCTTTCCTGTCAGGAGGCGAAGGGGGAAAAGGGGGGGGGCCCCGCTCCAATGGCGGCGGCGGCTCAAAATGGCCGCCGCCGCCACCTCCCCCTCCTCCGTGGCCCCATGCGATGCAACACGGGTGCCAATTGGCCACCGCGTGGAGGCAACGGGCGCGGGCCGGGAGACTCAGCCAATCAGAGCGCGGCTTTCAAAAGAACGGCAATGAAAGGGCTCCGTAGCACCCGGGGAGGAAGCGTTGGCCTACGTCGCTGCCGCCGCCGGAGCGGAGGGCGGGAAAAGGCGGGAGGCGGAGCACGCGGTGATTGGGTGGCCCCCGCGCGCCCGCTCCCGTAGGGTCAAATGAAGAAAAGGGAGTAAGGACTTGGCCCAATCAGCGATGGGATCTCAGAATGAACCTCCCTGCCCACCCCCCCACCCCCCGCCACTCACACATACACACTCTCGGCCTTTCCTGCGCGGTCCTTTCATCAAACTGGTGTCTCCTGTAACACATACCCTGATTGGTCTAGATCTCCCGCCCCTAGAGGAGTACAAGCGGATAAAAGCACTAGAACCAATCAAATGGGGGGTCGGCCGACCAACTCCCCCTCTTCCTCCTTTCACGTTTGCCTTTAAGAAACCGGAAAGATGAATTCACGAAGGACCTGCCCCTTGCCGTTAGGGCGGTTTCAAAACAATCTGTCCACCAATTGCAATTATCGTTTTAACTCACTAAAGCTAGTACAGTGGGATAGCTTTAGGAAAAGCCAACCAGATTGGCTGTTCTTTGGCGGACGGCCTCACAAATGTCGCTGAAGAGGGAGGCCGAGGAGATAGAGATGAAGTAGATAAATTATCCTTAATCTGGAAGAAACTCAATTGACTACGAAAAGCAATCTTTTGACTTCAGAGAGTACCGGAGTTTTGAAAATAGAGGATAGACCAACAACGGGAAAAAAGTTGTAAAGGAAATCGCACCCTCTTCCCTTTTGATAGTTCATCTCAAGGGGCGCCTCTTTCCACGATCATAGATTCGCTGCAGTCTTTCTCTATGGTTGGTATCTTACGTGGAATGGGCGCTCTGCACGCGACCATAGAGACTTCCCCACCTCCGAAAGTTCTCGGGTCTGTACCCCAAATCTTCTGAGCTGCTGTTCAGTAGTTCTGGCCGTTTGGCGTCTGTACTGACAAGCTCGAACACATAGGTCCGTAGTTCAGCCTCACGCTACAAATGCAAACGCCACAGTTTCACAATGTCTACTGCTGCACCACCTGTCGCCTCTAACTCAAAAGACACAAAACTTCCGTGAAATACACAATCGTGCTACACAATGCAAACGCCCGCTGCCCACCGAGCCATACCACAAGCCCACAAAAACCACACACCACCACCACCTCTACTTAGACAAAAGCACACACAACACAGATAAACAAATGGCCGTGAGTCAGATCAGATACATCCGTAAAGGGGATAATACACCAAACTGCAGTGTAGATGTGGCCAGTAAGGTCCACACAGGCAGGAGGCATCAAATGATAAAGACACGGGACAGCTACACTACAAGCTGACAAGGCAACCTCGACACACAGCACCCACTCAGAAACGGGGCAGACACTCACGTGGGCCCGGAGGTTCCAGTCCAGACACCCCGCCCCTCGCCCACGTCCGACTTCCTCTCTCCTCCCAGCTTCCCACAATGATTTGTTCTGAAAAAGTTTGTGGCCCGGATTGAACTGTCCTCGGGTTCTCAGGAGCTGCCACCGGGGGGCGTCCGGGCGCTGCCAAGGGTTTCTTCATCTGCTGCCCGATAGACCCCGGAACGTGGGCATGCAAAGCACAGGGTGTTTGTCTTGGCAGCAATCCCTTTGTGCGCCCTCGCTGATCGGAGGTGTTCTGTGCCTGTGTTTCTATGTGAACCTGAACGTTTGAGTCTGTGAGTACCTGTTGTACTCTCTAGGTATTTGTGCCACTTTATTTATTCTGTAATCTGTTAGTCTAGTTTCTTCCTATTCCTGGTGAGTATCTGCCTTGCATATGTTTGCAAATATGTTTGTTATCTGTGTAATTTTGTATGTCTGTTACTCTGTGTGTCTGAATTTCAGTGTCTCTATTTGTGGCAAGGTATGCCTGAGTATGTCCTAATGGGTCTGTTACTTTGGGGTGAGGAGAAGAGTCTCTTTGTGACAGGAGTATCCACGCGCCTCTTCCTCACTAGGAAGGAGAGTCGGCATTTCTTTGTATGTCTTTTTGCCTATGCATATGCTCATTTCTACCCTCTTGATAAAGGGAGAACTTCTAGACCACCAAGCTCTTCTTTTTACTGATGGGGAAACTGAGTGGCCAGGGAGAGGGGCCACATGACAGCTGAGTGGAAACAAGAGGAGACAGAAGTGTGGTTATAAAGTTTTATGTGATCTGAGCCCCTCTGGAGGCACCAGAGCCCACACCTCTGTACAGGAGGCTTGAGGGATTGGCTCAGGGGGGCAGCATGGCCCAAAAGGAGGGAAATTGTCTCCTGGGGAAAGGAGGCATCCCTAATGCATTGCACAGGCTTGAGGGGAGGCATGCCCCCACATGAGGGGAGGAGGAAGCAGAGGTGGCTAAGAAAGGGAGAGTCGCACAGAAGAATACTGTAAGATTAGAATCTTGGAATCATACCTTGGAATTCTAGACCAGTACACCTTTAGAATCTTTGAACTTTTGAATCTTACAACTACAACGTTTGAATCTTAGAACTACAGTGCCTAGGAACTTAAGATTTAGAACTGTGGATTCTTGGACCCTCAACTAAAACCCTAGAAAGGTGGAATGCAGCATTGAACCTAAAGGTATCCAACATTAGAAATGATTAAAACTTTGGTATCTAGCTAGTCACAACTAACTGTAGAGTTTTATACCTTAGTGCTGAGGGTCCAGAATCTTGGACCAATAGACTCTAGAGTACCTTGGAACATAGAACAGAACAACATTAGAATCTTTGAGTTTAATAATCTAGAATCTTGAAGCATATGGTCTAGAATCTTAGACACAGAGAATCTAGGTTCTTAGACTAAGTCTTAGAACATCACATCTTAGAACATTAGACCTTTGAACCTCCATCTTTAGACTCTTAGAACTTTTGAATTGCACATTTTAACCTTAGATATTTAGGATCCAGAATCTCATAAGAGTTTCAAGGATCATGAAGCCTTAAAACTTACAATTAACCATTATTAGAAGCTTTGAACTTGAGAAGATAAAATCTGGAAGCCTTATGATGTAGAGTCTGATAAGCCAGAAAATTTACAGTCTAAGAGGCTTAGAACATCAGATTTTAGAACATTAGGCCTTAGAACCTCCAGGTCTAGAATTGTAGAATCTAGAATCTTATACCCTAAGAATTCAGAACCCTAGAAAAATAAAATCTAGGATCACAGAATCTTGGATCCTAAAACTAGTATCTTAGAGCTTAGAACCCAAAATCTTGTGGGCTTTATGAAGAATCCTAGAACCAGAAAAATCTAGAGCCATGGGCTCTCAGAGCCTTAGAATATAGACCTTGCAACTTCCATGTCTAGAACCTTAGCACTTTAGAATTAGAGACTTTGGGATTTTAGGTCCTTAGAGCCAAAGACTAATAGCATCTTTGAAACCTAGAACCTTTGAATCTAGACTCTTTAAACGTTAGAATCTAGAATCGTGGAATGTCAGACCTGGAAAGATCCTTAGGGATTGCAGTACAACCCCTTCCTTTTACACATGGGGACTCTAAGGCATGGAAAAAGGAGAGGATCTGTCTGGGATGGAAATGGAATAGGTAGGAAGAGAAGGCTGTAGTTTGGGGTGAGGCCTGGAATGGAGAAATAGTTGATAGGGTAGGCTCCCCCAGTGGCAGTGCCTAGCTTGGGTCCTGAGAGGGAGTCCCAGGTAGAGGGTTGTCTTAGGCTCCATCCTCCTGCCCTGGGGGAGCTGGGGAGCTCCTTTCCGTGGGCAGAGTAGGGCCGGGGGTGGTAGAAGGGCAGAGGACATAGCGTCCAGCAGGATGGACCTCAGCCGCGGTGAGGCAACTGCAAGAATCCTTAGGGTCAGGCTGGGTTAGGGGGTCAGCTCCTCCAGCAGCTCCAAGTGGTTCAGGATGCCCCCCACCCTCATCCATGTTGACATAGAGGATCTCGTCGGGCTCCTGGGCAGGGGGCAGGGCCTTCAGGGTGTTCTCCAGATCCTCCCGAAGTTCTGAGAAGCTTGGCCGGTCCCGGGGGTTTAGCTCCCAGCACCGGGACATCAGGGCATACCTAGGGCAGCAAAGTGAAGGGTGGGAGACTGAGCAGACGCACTCAGAAGGAGGGCGTTCTGGGAGTCTGGGGTATTTCACGGGACTGGAAGGAACCATAGCAGTTTGGGGGGTTCTATAGGGGATTTGGGAACTCTCAAGAGTTTCTGAGGGGAGTCCTAGGACACTCAGGAGCTGAAAAGGGTCTTGGGGAACCTCTCTGAGTATCGTGTGGTGTTCAGTGAGGGTTTGCTAGAGCAGACTTTGCCCTCAAAGCGCTGGATGAATGCTCTGCTTTTTCTCTGTGCGCTGTAAGTTTCATAAACTGTAAGTTTCATACACACTGTCCTAAAGGATCCTGGGGATATCTCAGAGGAGCCCCATGAGTTTGGAGAAGCCCCATATGGCAAACCGGAGGGTTGGCAGCGGGTCCTGAGGGGTGTTGAAGAGCATGGGGGGGAAGTATGGGTGCTCAGGAGTCTGAGGTGAATTAGAATTTGGGGAGAGTGGGGGGTCTCAGAGGCAGGGCCCCCAGGTAAGCTGGTGCAGTTATTCACTGCCCACAGATGCCCGGCCAAGGCGGCTGATCCAGCCTGCATTCCACACAGAAAGGCACCAGAGGAGAGGGCACCTTTTGCCAGTCTGCACCCTGTGAGCTAGCCCTAGTCTTGTGGGGCATTGGTGAGGAGGTGTGCGGGTTCCTCAACGGTCTGGGGGATTCTGTGCAGGTTTTAGAGGGTCGGGGCCATGTGGGGTGCTCAGGACTTTTGGAGTGAAATCTGGGATTGGATTGGGGGTGGGGAGAGTCCTCAGGGTCCTCACAGTCCATCCAGACAGTCCACAGGCTGTTTCAGGCGGTTTCCCTGGCACAGGTAGTCGTAAATCTCGCTGTTCTCCACTCCTGGATATGGGGTTTGGCCTCGCGTGGCAATCTCCCACATCGTCACTCCAAAGGACCACTGTAGGGGGCAGAGGAGAGAGAGTTAGAGGGTCTCTCCTGCACAAAGACACCCCAATGCACAGGTACACCCACATTTATGTGCACATCTGTACACAGCTATTTCTGTGGGGGCATCACAGCTCTTCACCGAAACACTTTGGCACAGGGACACACTGAGTGGCAACTTTTGTGTGTGCATAGGCATGATGATCCATGCACACATGTACACACTTCACAGTCACATGGTCTTACGGGTCGCCCTTGGCACTGTGGCTGTGCATACATACATGTCCTCACCACTGCCTCTCGCGACCTAAACTGTCCACACGTCCCATGTATGAACCTGCCATCATGCACACGTGGACCTGTGCATGTCGCCACCATGGCCACACCACCATTCACAGACACCCAGCACACCCCCAGACATGCCTAACACATGCGGTCAGGCCCCTGTACCGGGAAGCCCGGGCATCCCTGTGAGCCCAGCTGCAATGTGACATGAACTGGCCACTGCTCCCCACACCTGACACATACCACATCACTCTTGCTGGTGTAGACCCGGTCAGCTAGGCTCTCGATGGCGATCCACTTGACTGGCATCTTGGCGATGCGTCCCTGCCGGTAGTAGTCCCCATTGTAGATCTTCTTAGAGAGCCCAAAGTCCGCCACACACACGGACATGTTCTCGTTCAGCCTGCCCGGAATGGGGAGAGGAACAGAGTCACGGCATCACCCCCTCCACCGGGAAGCCTGTCCTCACTCTCAGACGCCTTTTCACCCCCTGCTCTGGCTGGCCTCTTTGGGGGTGAGGGTCTGTCAACCCCAGACCGAAGGGAAATGTGTTGCTTCTTGTTCCCTCTATATGAAGTTTCACAAACACACCCATGTAACCAGCACCCAGATGAAGAAACAGAACACCGCGGGGCATCATCTGTACAAGGAATACCACAGAGCAAAGAAAAAGCTGGAACTAACCAATATGCATGGCGACGTGGGCTCATCTCAACAATAGCACACTGAGCGAAAGAAACCAGACACAAAGAAGTATACCTTCCGTGATTCCGTGACATTTAAGAACAGGTGACTGAAATACAGGATAGTATTTTCCCTGGGGGCACTGACTACAAAGTGCTTGAGGGAGCCTGCCGGGGCCCAGAAATGTTCTTTACCTTGATCCAGTTGGTGGTCGTTTACATGAGTCTATAGACATAAGCATGCATTTGACCACACACCTAGAATGTGTGTGTGTTAGCTTGTCAGCATACGTTGATTTTTTTTTTTTCAACGTTTATTTATCTTTGGGACAGAGAGAGACAGAGCATGAACGGGGGAGGGGCAGAGAGAGAGGGAGACACAGAATCGGAAACAGGCTCCAGGCTCCGAGCCATCAGCCCAGAGCCCGACGCGGGGCTTGAACTCGCGGACCGCGAGATCGTGACCTGGCTGAAGTCGGACGCTTAACCGACTGCGCCACCCAGGCGCCCCACGTTGATTTTTTTAAGTGTGAGAAAGGAAGGAACACATTACTAGTCCTGCCTGTAACCACCCCTCCCAGAGAAGCCACAGTCTTCGAGCATGGATTACTTTTGCCTGCTTTTGTGCTTTTCATAAAGAGAAGATTCTCTAATTTTTGCACCTAAGGTTCTAGGATCCTATTAAGAATTAATGATTTCTAGCCAGGGTGATGGGCTGGGGCACTGACCGATCAGAACAGACCCTGGAGGCCCCTCACATGGCAGGAGTTAACCTTCACCCTCTAGGTCCAGAGAAGGCCCAGAGGATCATGGCAGGGAGGCAGAGAGAGGTGATGCTCAGGTATCCAGGCTGGTGGCTGTGGAGTGGGTGGGAGGTTTCGGGTAGTGGCGAACTGCCAACTGGGTAAGGAAATAACATTTAAAAAAATTATTTATTTACTTTTATTTTTTTTAATGTTATTTATTTTTCAGAGAGAGAGACAGAGCGTGAGCAGGGGAGGGACAGAGAGAGAGGGAGACACAGAATCCAAAGCAGGCTCCCGGCTCTGAGCTGTCAGCACCGAGCCCAACACGGGGCTTGAACTCACGGACGGCCAGATCATGACCTGAGCTTAAGTCGGATACTTAATGGACTGAGCCACCCAAGCGCCCCTTATTTACTTATTTTTAAGGTAGCCTCCATCCCCAATGTGAGGTGTGAAGTCATGACCCTGAGATCAAGAGTTGCATGCTCTACTGACTGAGCCAGCCAGGCATCCCTGGAGATTTTATATTTAAGCGATCTGTACACCCAACTTGGGGCTTGAACTCACAACTCCAAGACCATGAGTCGCATGCTCTACCAAGTGACCTAACCAGGCACCCCTCAATATTGTAACTTAACAAAAAGGGGCAGATGCATAACAATGGGTTGTCTACTCTGATTTCCAGTGTCACTGTTCCATGGGGGACTTGACTAGGATCACGCCAAGTTGCAGATAGAAAGGAATTTCCAGGGGTGCCTGGGTGGCTGTTGGTTAAGCATCTGACTTCAGCTCAGGTCATGATCTCACAGTTTGTAGGTTCAAGCCCTGCACCAGGCTCTAT